TTAATTAGATAATTTAGTCAAAGAATTAAAGGACTTAGACTTTATACTTATACAGTGTTATGTAATATTATGTAAGGAAGAAAAAAAAATACGTGTGTACGCTAGCTTGTAAAAGAAGGAATGATTTCTCAAAACTTTTCAACTTCATGTTTCATGTATTTACTGCAATCGTTCTACAAATCGTCACTCAAACGACCAAGGAAGGGAGTAAAGTATTAAGATTTAGATGTACTTATTATATCGTAAGAGTCAATTGATTGTTGAATGAGAGCACACGAACTGTCATGGCTAGAAACTGATAGTAGAATATTCACTTCTAGTTAGGAAGGAAAATAAAATGAAACGATATAGCCCAAAAATTAAGAATATGCTTGAGAAGATACATAACAGTTAATATTCAGATTATGAACAGTTATGTGGAATTGATTTTGATGTTATTTCAATTGAAATGAAGTGAAGAATGGGAAGAAGTGATGATAATTTCCAATGTTATACTTTAAACATGTTCAACAAGATGAAATAGGAGCGAAACGAAAAAAATCTAAATGAACCAGTAGGAAAGAAAACATATGGATTAGAAAATGCAAAAAAAGAAATTGCTTTATTAGTTTAATGGAACACATTCTTTTTGATGAATAATCTTATTGTAATAACAGATCGACAATGCATACGTTTAGAAATTAACTTTACTGCATTAATGATGATTCTCATATTACAATTGATGCGTTGCAAGCGCAAACTAATCTGAATCATGTCGCCATCCAACAAATAATCTCCAATTATGGCAAACTTAAAAAGATTACAGCTAGCTAGGTATCGTAACAGATGATCTTAGGAGTGCTTACAAAATATTTATTCTGCATTATGGGTCTGGTAAGTCATATTTCATCTTTTCGACCTTCACGAACTTATTAATATCAACTTTCTCCTGTCTCAGAAAATGAAGCCTGGCCGCCGAAAGCAAAATACCTAGTTTATCACGAATAACTTTTACTTGAATATATAGTGTAGCATGGAATCTACTGTAGAAGCGAACGTTTTCCTTATCTATCTATATCAGAGATGAACAGCTTGGATCGAAATTCTTATATTATTACATCAACTGAAGAATAGCGAAATATTATAGGATTATAGAGCACTGTTAGGGCTATCAGTATATAGAGTAGGTATCGAAATTATTCAACTACGCAGTAGATAGTTTCATTATGATATATTACTCAATAGAACAACTTGCACTCTACCGAATTCCCATAGTGTTCAGTTAATTTTATTGTTCAATATATCATTGGCAATAACACAACAAACTCCATTAAATATTTTATTTGGTCAAATATTTTTCGTTAGAAAATTAGTTTAGTCGTCTTCTATGTATACATCAATCACGGATAGACGTTCCTGTACTATCTTATTCAGACATCGAAGAAGATAAAAGTTGTTTTAACAACGTGGATTTGTAGGAGATCTTTTTCCGTACGAAACTTTTATATTAGAAATCAAAACAAATTATGTCACTTTATTTATAAGTTTTGTTTACACTATGAATAGGGCGAGTAAAAATGCTCACCGTAATCCTAGCAATAATCTATGTGCAGATCTCACTACACATATAACAAACTTTTACGCATCACACCTTCGTAGATAGAATTCTCCATTCTCGAGATCATCACAACAGAAAATGATTTCATGAATGATCGATCCTGTCCTATCCAAGATTTTCATTATCACTTCTGTTCACAACAATTGGCTGAAGGCTAGTTCATCAAGTTTTATTATATTGGGTAAAAGATGAAGACCAAAACGTCAAAGTTGTCATTTTGCGAAACTTACTAAAGATGGACGAAGCCTCACATTGAAGAGTCAAAAATGTTTGTATCATTTTGAGACATCAATCTCTCTGATAAAGTCTGAACGAGTTTCTAGAGACTCGCCATTTTCTAGAACATCGCGACTCAAATTATAGATTTTGTTATAGCGAAAAATATGCAATGTATGGAGGCCAAATGCATATGTGGTCGATTACAGAAATACATGGCTTCGTACCGCATTAAAAATCATGTGACCTATGACAGGATAGATCTCAACTTCGATTTGTCTGGCTAAAATTGACTGCTTTGAAGCAGGCATGAGCTTATTCAGCTAAATTTAAAAAAAAAGTAAGTAGCAGAAATGGATGAAATATTCTTTTCTCTTCTTCTTTCACCATTGAACGAAATTAGAGATGTACGGAATTAGTTTTAGCTCCGACTGCCGTCATTGAGGATCAGGATTAGAACTACAAGAAAAAAAAGTTGCTCAACCCGAAGCTAAAAATTGTTGTTAAATTTTCTATGAGTTTTAGCGAGTCAGATTATAAATCACATCAATCAAAACACAAGCTTTGCAGACATTTTTTTAGATTTAGTGTGAATACACTCTGAAGTAGTGTTCTCCAAGTTGGAATGGGGATTGGAAACACTTGATTCCGCACATCTCTAAATGAGATAGAACAGTTAAAAATGCTGTGAAATAATAGCTCTCTGCTTGATAAGTTAGCATTTCATTGATCTTCTAATAGCTATAATATTCATTTTTTACCTATAGTTAGTATATTTATTACAGCCTAGAAACCGAAAATCTGGCATTCAATCAAGAGAAAAAAGACATACTTCTCTATTTCTTCATACCTATACAGAGACATTCCTACTTTTGTATATTTATTCGGCTCTGAAAATAATCAGTAGGTATGGATCAATTCTAGCTCATAAATTCAGATCAAATGAGCTAATGAGCTCTTGAGACATCTTGTAGGCAGAACCTGATTAGTAGAAACAGTTCTCGAAGCGGAAATTTTTGAAATATTATTATTCTGGTGTCAGAATAAAAAGTTTTTTGGACAACTCTTTCCCAAGAATCATTTTCAGACATCAGCTGCTCTTCGAGAAACCATACAGAGAGGTCAATTTCTATCACAGAACGTTTTCAACAATATCTTAGATCGAAACTATTACCGAACTGCTACACCTCTGATGATAACAGTCATATAATCAATCTTTCGTTAAAATATGTATCACTTTCATTAAGAAAACCTAATATGGAAATATTATAAGTAGAGCTCATATTAGAGGGCAGAGTGATGGTTCTCTTTTAACTATTATTCATTTAGGGATAAGATATTCATAAAAGATCGAATGTCAACTTGTTTTTCTTTTGATCAGATCAACAGACAAAAAAAGGAAAGATAACATGAAAATAGAAAGCTGATATCATGCATTTAATTGAAATCGATGCGCTAAGTATAAATGTTGAATAAGCATCATCCAAAAATCATGTATGCAGATACAACATCAACGACAAGTGATGTATGATTATGTTTTATAATCAATCTTCGATCTGTTATCATCAGCATTTCGATTATCAAATTTGACATATATCTATCGTCATGCTCTATCTTCTGATAAAACGAAAATTAATATGCGTATATTTTAGAGTAAATAAAATAATCATGAATTTGCACAGTGACTTAATAGATGCTACACGATACGAAATTGAATAAAATCATAGATCATTGTTATTATAAATTGTATATAATAAAAATCAAAAAGAAATATTTCTAGTCAATAAAGTTATTTTAAAAAATATTCAAAAGTCATTCTTTATTGTTATCGTTGTACAAAATTAAAAAAATAAATGTGAATATCACAGAGATTAATAGCTAAAAGCAAAATAAAATATGTAAATAGCGTATTACACTGCTTAGTGTCTATTAAATTTTTTTACAAGATCTCGTACCGAAGCTCTCGTTGAGTCTTCTTCGTTGTCACTTGAAGGTAAGAACGAATGTTTGATAGTAATTGATTGTTTCTTTTCTATTACTTCTGTATAAACAATATTGGTTGATATTTGATTTCCTACATTTTGATAAATACTCTCCGTCGCTAGTTCAACTTGTTGTTGTCGTTGTTCTTCTTCTTCGTTATCAACTTTTATAAAAGATTTCGTATTCGAAGATGGATTATATGCACTATCACCATATGCATCAAAAATAGGTTCCTTTAATATTTTAAAACAAGATAAGATAATCAGTGAAATTAAATTTTTTCATTTCTTTTTTTTTCCTACTTTTTGTAAAAAAGCTGATGGAATCCAAGTAAGAATATAATCATCTTTTAATCGTCGTCCAAGCCACCAACCACTTGAATGCTTGTCATGTATTTCAACAACATCACCACGTTGTAATGAAACACAATCGCCAATATTATCAATAAAATCACTATGAACATAAAATATTTCTGGTTCATTATTAATATTCGGATTTTCATCATGATCATCCTAAAAAACAAAAAAATATACCATGGAAAAAAAGTAAATTCAATAAGTAGTTTATTCAAACTTGTTCATAGCTATTCAAACTACTCAATCGATGACTTAATGTATTAGAAGGAATAGTTGATTCTTCTTCTACATACAAAAAAGAAAAATACACAATTAATCAAAAAAATGATTCAATTTCTTTTTAATTTACTTGTGATATTTGCTGGAATAATTCGTCCTTTACAAGATGTTAAAAAGACAGCTGGAAATTGGCCAGTCATATTATTAAAACTAAATAACAATATTTGTTTTCGTATTTTCTTAGATGAAAAATTTTTACTTGACTATCCACCATCCAGTAAATGATTTTTCCAGAACAGTTACAAATGATCCTTGATCTAATGAAATTTCATCTCGACTTTTTGCTTCATATGATTTATTAACAACATAAGTTTCGTCTATATAAAAAAATAATAAAAGATACTCTATCATACTTGAAATTTAAATAATAAAAAAGAAAAACAGTTTTTATTCTCGTGTAATTTCGACTATTCACTAATTTTTAGTTATTAGATTTAGTTATGTCATTGTTGGCATAATAATTTAAACGATCTGTAAAGTGTCATGGTATAAATATTTGCTGAATTAGGCATTATTTGAAAGAATGAAAAGAATCAGAACTTCATATTCTTTTCAAATGTAGTTTTAAAATATTTTTCACATTCAAAACTGATTAGCTGTCTTTCCATTAATCAATCGCTGTCACTACAGAATTTTGAGTGATCGATCATGCCGATTCCGAATATGACCATCGCACAATTTCCTAAGATCTTTATATCTTACTTTTCTAGGAACCCAGTTTTACAGACTAAGAATTATATTGCTACAATCATTTTGAATCTACTCAGATTATAGAGCATTTCTACTTGTCTATAAGACAATACTATCGTGAAAATTTTCACATTGAAGTGCTGATATGTGTACAGTGACTCCCAAAATTGATCATACAAATTTAATTTCAATTTCTTTAATAACGATTCGAAATAGTGATTTGGATAGAAAAATTTATTTCCAAAAAATAATTGAGAAAAACAAAGTCCACACACTATTGTCTAAACTGAGAGTCTTTAGAATATTTAAAATTTAGGTTTTCAGCACTCCGAACTTCAAAATAAAAGTTTCTTTTGATTACAAAGAGTGATAGAGAATTAATTGTTCGAATGATATGGTATATCGAGCAGTTTTTTTTTCTTTATCCTCTTCTTTGCACGATATTCCTAGACTTTTTGTAATATCACTCTAAGTTTTGTTAATACTGACTGGATGATCTTGGAAACGTATTATTTTCATGAACATCTCGTTGTTGCTCAATTGGTTCTAGAAAAGCTCCTGGTACAAATCCAGTTTGATCACCATTTTGAACAAACCACCAACCTTAGAGAAAAAAAAGTATAAAGAATTAATTAATTCTTCAAAATATATAGAATAAAACAAACCATTAAGATGTTTATGAATAACTTGAACAAGAGTATTTCGTCTTAAAGACATTTCTGTTTTTTCTATTGCTACAAAGTCATCTAAACATCGATATGTTGGTAATTTTGATGGTCCACTGATTGTCATTGTACTTTTGGTAACTGTTTTTTTGTCCCGAGCTAAAAATTCAATTTGATTTTGTACATCAGTTGGTAATGGTTGAAAAAATTCAAGTACACAACGAGATCGAGATATTCGTTCAGGTAAAGAAATTAATGTCTAAATTATTTTAAGTAATAAAAAAGTTTTTTTTTTTAATTAAATAATATTCATTACCTGACAATATATATTAAGAGCTTGTTTTCGTTCTAATGCAACTTGACGTATTTGACTTCGACCAAGAAAGATTTTACCTGAAAGAAAATTAAAGATAAGTTTCTTTTGAATTCATATTTTATATTTATGTACCAGGAAGAAATGGGATTAGTCGTGAATGAGTATTATAATTATTCGATGGTGATGGAGCTTCAGCAAATAAATCAAGTAATTTGCACTTGAATAAAGATTTATTATTCTTCTTTTTCATAGAAGTTAGTAACTTACTTGAAGATCAAAAAACTGAGCATAACGTCGATAGATAATAAATATATTTGTAGGATTTGACCAAGTTACTTGAATCACATAAACCTAAGAATATAAAATACATAATTTTATCAAATATAGTCTTTTGTTTCTCAACAAACATACGTAATGTTTTGGTCCTGGTTTATACCTTTTTTCAACGTCTAGGACTTTAACACCGGTCACATAACTATTTTTATTCGCTGAATATTTATCTATCATCTATAACAATAAGTCAAATGACTTGTTTTATTTTTCTTATTTTAATAAAAACAAAAAACACAAGCGGATTTTTTTCTCAACTTTATTTTTCAATTTTAACTTTCGATAATAATTCCTCAATATCAAAATCCATTGAGAAATTTTGTTGAAAAATTTTTTCCGACGATTTTGTATTTAATAATAATAATTGTTTACTAGCAAACATTATTTCATTAATATCATCATCTAATTTAATTGATGATAGATGATCAAAATTTGTTAATAAATGTTTTAAACAATTCTCACGTTCTTGATTTGTATCATCACGTGAAGCAAAATTTAATACAAATATACCGGAATGATCTGAAAGTAATGTTTTAACATTTTTTAATATTTCATTATCAAGAAATGCTGGATGTGGACAACGTAATGGACTTTGACTATCATCATTATTCACATCGAAAATAATCAAATCATAAATTGCTAGAAGAAAAAACATACATATTAATGGATGTGTCAGAATAAATGTTTCTCTCACGAGAATGATGATTTCGAATCTGAATAGAAGAAATTTTCTAAGATGTTCATATGTTGATTTTATAGAATAACAAATTTTTCGCTGAAAGTGTTTTTTTGATCCGCCCAGATCATAGATCATATCGAATTGTCCGGAAAACAATAAGTTTTTCTATTTCAAATCGTTTCTTTTTTTGAAGAGAATACAACCATTTAAATTTATGCAACAGATACACATCACAATTTCAAGGTAAGAAACTTCAAGATGATATTAATTTTCGTAATATTTCTTTTTGGAATATAGAAAAGATTATTGTCTTGTAGATAATTCGATATACTCTATATTCTGAGTAGACCCAAAACGATTTTGGGAGAATAGTTGTTAGTCTGGAAAACCAACCTGTAGAGACCAAAGGGAACTTCTTATACTCATAATCGGAATTGGAATGGTCGATAGTTCATGATTAAATAGCTTTTGATGAGAAAGCGATTGATCAGTTAAAAGTGTGCCTTCGTAAGTATTTTCTGCGTAGTCCGATCAACATTTATTGCAGAGTCTTAATCTTTTTTGTGAAACACGATCTCTACGGAGTGTTAAGATGTAGGAATAGAACTTTGGAATCATCTCGTTCTCTCAAACGTACCACAAGTTTTACTATGAAATATTCAGCAGAAAAATAAGAGAAATAATGCTTCGAGGGTCAAATTTTCGAACACTAAATAGCCAGTCTGTTTGGTTCTACTCGTTCAAAATTTGAACTAATCAAAAAAATCAATAGCAATCTTGTTGAATTTGAAAAGCTCTATCGTTTGACCACATTAATGAAATTTTGATATCAGTGCTTGCTAAGTAGATGAGTTATTTCTAGTTTGTAAATTTTACAATCATAACTATTTTGAATCAGCAATCTTGAGGCGTGCAGAAAAATTTGCATAAGTTGAACAAAAAATGAGTCAATATAACTCAGCTGAGTTTCAATTTTAGCAGAGATAAATAATGTATCCAACCGAAATACTAGAATTTGAATAGGGTTCTTTATTCAGGTCCAAATGTGTGAAATAAGGAATTCTGACGGACTCATTATAATTCAATTGATAAAAAATTCATACTTTTTTCTTCTACTTGTCGTTGAAGATATTTAATACCATCATCAATTACACATTTTGTTAGACTATCATCAAGACCAAACCATGTTTTAGCTATTCGAATCATTTCACTATCAATATCGACACCTGTTAAATGTATCTAAAATATTTTCATAAATTCAAATAACTTAAATATACCAAAGATAAAACTAACTTTTGGAAAAGCTCGAATCAATTTCATTGTTAATACACCACCACCAAGACCAATTAAAAGCCAATTACCATTCGGTTGAGAATTCTCTATTGAAAATAAATGAATGTAATCTTTTAATTATTCGCTCAGACTTATACTGAAGTGCAGATTGGTATATGTGCAAAGTCATTTGTTAACAATTTACTTCACAAAATAAAAACACGTGTATTTCGAGATAATAAAATTTTCTAGAGCTAGTTTTTATATGTCATACATATGTTAAGTTACTTTAGATACCTTGAAAAAAAAATCAGCGCTAGAGGTCTTTGTCCAGAGGAATTGCCAATAAAAATCTAGCGTTAGCAACGTGACGAAGTACGAAAAATTGCTCTTATAACCAAATGAGAAGTTGAAAACCAATTCCAAACGATAAAATTCCTTCTTCAGAATCTCTCGAGAAAGCTTTTTAGAGCTCGACCTTGCTGAAAATTTCATCATAGGTACAGTTCATGCCGTAGAGTCTATCGTAAAGTTTGTGGATGTTTGTCTCTCATGATTAGAGAGACATTCGCTAATTAATTTATAACTAAAACTCTGCTGAAAGAACCAAGATGTCTATTCTAAAAGAGCTTATTCAAAAATATAAGCCTTGTAAAAAAAAAAAAGGTAGGCATGATCTGTTTTGTTTGAAATGACTCATATGAAGAATTCCGAGAATACTTATTCAACATTCAAATATTTATTCCATGAGAAAAGCAAAGGATTTTCGAATTTTAAGATTAATGAAATCTGTTGTTTCATCAACTGAAATCTTTTATAATAATAAGCTCAATTATATGCCATGTTTAATGCTATATTCTTTTTTTTTATCATTGATGGAAAATATTGAATCAAAAAATTATCCGTAGATAAGTTATTTAAGTTGTTTCATCTACTATTGTTTTCTCCCTATTTGATCAGTTAATTCTCTCACAATTTAGGATTCATCGTCATTGAATGAGTACAGAGACTAAATCAATAAATACAGAATCGTTAAACGTCGAAATGACTCTCTTTCATTATTTCTCTAAGCAGGATTATATAGATGTTAGAATTCAAGATATGAACAGTTATTTAGCTGGATTGAATAAGAAAAAAATAAAGATGTTAAATGCTTACTAGTTGCAAGAAAATGAGTTTTCAAACAAGCAACAATAACTCCGTGATAATCATTTTCCAATATGGAATAATCAGGCATGACTAAATGATCTATATTTTAGAAAATCAAATATCTATTATTAACATACAATCATTTGTTTCTTTATTTGCAATCAAATTAATTTCACTTTGAATAAGATTTGGACTAGCATCAAAACGAAGACGTCGTTTCCATTCATTATCATTTCCATAAAGACAATCTTCGATAATGAATGATGATGATCGTTCACGAATTATTACTTGTCCAACACCTTCCGATGATGATAAGAAAGGAATCTGGAATAAATATACTTTAGTTATAATAAAACAATTGGCTTTTGCTTTACAACCTGAAAATTATTTGGTAAATTAACTGGTTTAAAATCAACGACAGCATTTGTCATTTCACATTTTATTTGTTCAAGATCACGATATTCTTCATCAGATTGTAAATATATAAATGCTATTGTTGTATATTTTGCATTAGCAATTATTTGTTGTCGACCAGCTGGTGTTGAATACAACCAATCAAGATTTCTATATTTAAAAACAAAAACAATTTATTATTTAATAAAAAGAAATAAATCAATAAAAAAAAAACTAAACCAACCTTGATTTAGGTACTATGAATGCAGCAAATGGTTTATTTCGATATTTTGTAAGACTATTAACAATAATCATTTGATATCGTCGTTTTGTTTGATTATTTTCTACATATAAATCTATACTAGGTGTTTCACTACCAGCTACAAATCTATTTGAAAAATAAAGTCAAAATAAACGAGAATATAAAATTGTTCATATGACAAACTTTTGTTTAAAATCATATTTTTTAAAACATGTCATTTGGCATTGCTGTATAGCATTCATTGCTTCTGATAAATCATTAAATCGAAGCCAATTAGTATCCACATTATTGTATAATTGAACTTCGATTAACTAGAAAAGAGTTAATGATATATTTCAACATGATAGATTATCAATTAAACTATACAATATTAAGTAGATTTTATAAGATCAACTGATACTAAATTTTAATTTATATAATTATGAAATTGATTTTATTTTCGTAACTTTTCATTCTTGTTCATAGTTGATGCGCGAAAAAATCTTATCAAAGTTGTAGCACTGTTTTATTTTTGATACTTCAAACTTTTGTTTTGGTTTTGAAGTAATCAACAATTAATGGAATTAATGGCTAATACTCTTTTTTGAATTAGTAGTTATTATTCACCAAAGAGTTTTTACTAATGACTAAATTGACTCGTATCCATGAGCCTTTGAAGTCAAGCGATGGTCATTTTACTTAGTTTTCAACTCAAGTTTAGGTATTTGCTGAGAAACCAAAGAACCTGATTTTCATTTGAAATTATCGCGCATAGATAGATCTAATGATCTTTAAAATATTCTGAGAGTTTCAGCTGAATCGAATGTATAGACGAAATTTCATCCTTTGAGTTTTTTTAGTAAATGTCCAGGGGAAACAAACTAATTTCTATTAGTAGAAATCAATTTTTATCTATTCACGGCGAGTCCATATGAATCATTGAAAATGCTTAGAAATGATTCATAGAATAAAACATGCAAAAAAAAAGATGTATTGTACAATATTTTAATGAAATCTTTTTCACAGAGAAATGATGACCGAAATTTTAAAAAAATGAATTTTCTGATGATGCAACGAACAGAAAAACCTACATGTTTCTCAAAGTCTTTGATGATTTTCGAAGTTTTCATTCGTGAAAATGATTAATTCCACATGAAATCCAATAATATGCAGGTGATAAATGTGAAGTTTCTTTGTCAGCTGAGTCTCATGTAGACTCAGATGAACTAATTTACCTGAACTTTTTACGAAGTGTAAGTTGATTGTCCTTCAAGGGGTTGCGCAGTGGACTTCTGAAGAAGTTCAATTTACTCTATAACCATTATAAAATGGCAAGTGTTAAGAGTATTAAATTTAACAATCTATGTGACAAAAAGCAGCACATAACATTATTTTTCACCATTTATTTTACATTTAAACTAATTTTCATTCAAAAAAGAACAGTAAACTCACTCATCCAAAACCGTGTAAAAGTATGTTAATTGAAATAAAATAGTAGAACGAAAGAAACGTGATAGCTTTCATTTTTGTTAATAAACGGAAGTCATACAATGAAAAGATGTAAAAATAATGAAACTAATGTAGTGATTTTCATGTTCAATAAAAATGATCAAGATTATGTGAAATAAAATTGATGCAAAAACGATAAAAAGTAACACAATGATTTTGATTTTTTCCTAATAATCGAATCCATGAAATGACAATGATGAAAATATAATGATTTCTATATTATGTAAATAATCAAGGATAAGAGATGAAAATAATGCAAGAATAATGAAAGTAACGTAATGATTTTGATTTTTTTTGGAATAATTAAACTCATGTATTCATTTTTTTATTGCGTAAAAAAGAAAAATCACGATAAATCAGGGCTTTACTTTTAATCTTATTACTGAATATTTGCAGTGATCTAAATTGATTTATAATAGTTTCTAAAAAAATTTTAACTACTTCGAGTCGAATCCTTAACGTGTTACTATTGATTTTCAGCATAGAAATCACATTATTCGCCTTGGTAAATACCCAAAAATGAGTCTAAAATCCAATAAAAAGATTCTAACTCGGCTCCAAAGACCTATGGAAGACGAATACTGAGACCTCCTTGTGTATCCAACATGAGCTCAAACAACAGGTTATAATTAGGATCGTTTTCTCGTAAGCAATAAAATCTCAATTTAACAATAATGATTAAAATCTCTGAGCGAATTTTTTAATTTCAAAAATTTTAATTCGTTTGTACAAAAATTGATGAGAGAGACTATCTAAAAGATGTTTTTGTTACTTTGATTCACTAGAGGATGACAATCGTTCTGCTGCTGATCTGCTACGGTGGGTACTATATTTTTTGAAAATTCTATATCATTATAAAGTGGTATTCATTAGAATAAAATCATTAGAATGAAAAGAAAACTGTTCGATACAAATAACTATTTCAACCATTGATAAAATTAATTTTATGAAGTTTATAATAAAAAAGAATAAGTTCGACTATTTTAAAACATACTGGATTTTTCATTGTAATTTTCGTAAAAACAAATGCAAAAACTGGTAATGCAAATGATTTACTTGTTTGAATATGATGATAACGAAGAAGCCATGATCTATTTCATAGTTAGTTTTGAAATATTTCATTGTCTTTTTTTTAAAAAACTAATACGTCACTTGTTATTAAAAAAATATTGTGATACATGTTCAAGAATATGTTTTTGAGCAAGTGTTATACATATAAAACGACCTGTCATACGAAGAACACGATCAACTTGTTGAAGAATTTGATCAATATCTGAAACAACCTATTTTAGACATACAAAAAAAAAAAACAGAAATCAAAAAGTAAATAATTATTTTCTTTTTTTCATACTTGTTCACTTCTATTTGACATTAATGCATCAATAGTTCCTTTATCTAATACAACGCTAAATTGATTATCATCAAATATCATCTAATATAAAGAAAATAAATTTTATATAAAAAGAAAAAGAAAGAAAACTATTTTTAGCAAACTTTTCGTGCATCCATTTGTAACCATTTCATATTAGAACGTTTTGTTTCATTTTGTTTTTTCATTTGTTTTATAACTTTATCCGATAAATCAATATTTGTTATATGTTCAATACCTGTATCATATAAATCATTACTTAATGTTGAATTACCACAACCAATAACTAATACTTCATCACGAGATTTTATATATTTGCATAGTACATTGGCTAAATCAATAAAATCTGAATACCTAATAGGAGTTTGAAAAATGCTTTTTCTTTTTTAATTTTATATGAAATATAGATTTAAACAAACCATTCAAAAGCTTCTTGACCAACTTTATCAAAAAATTGATCCCAATAGTCACGACTACGAAATTCATCAACTGCTTTTGGTAATAAATTCATCTTGAGAAAATAAAATAAACGAGTCTGGAGTTGCAAAGATCGATCGTATGACTCATTTATATGAATCATTTTCTTCTTTTATGAGTATCCAGTCACAAGTTAAAAAAATATATCAGTCATTCGATTCCGCCATCTTTTCCCTAAAGATAATTGAGAAGAGACAAATACTGTATTAAGAAAAAAGAAAGTCTACATTATTTAATAAACTATTCGAATATATTATTTTAATAAAAAGTACTTTATAGGGTAGTACATAATAATAATCTCCTCGCCGTCTTATATATGCATGCAAAAATGTTTATTTTATTTCACTAACGAACGATATTGATATGTGTATATGATATCACTCAAGTGCTTGCTTGTGCCCTCGTGTCTCTCTTTCAACCCTTGGACTTAGAGAAACAAAGCTGTTAGCACAATGCCTGAAAGATTAAAATATAAACCAGGATGTAACTCTTGGTACTAATCACGGAGAAATTGTTTCATTGTATCTATTTTGAAACGCGTTTCTTCATTATTATTGTACTCAATTCTCCAATACTGCAATAAGAAAATAATGCATATATTATAATTAGAAGTTATTGATATACAACCGCAGGCCGTATATCAACGTCGGTCACTGATAAAACTCATCAAGTCTGATATTTTTGGAACCAGATCCATCCTACGAGCTCTAGTCATCGTCTGTACAGAGAGAGATCCAAATGTTTACCCCTATAATTCAATACTCTTTTCAGATCGTGTTTCAAAAAATTGGAGGAAACTAAAAAGTGACTGTAACATAATTATAGATCACGTTTACGGAAAGAATATTTTCCTTTTTTGTAAAAATGTCTCACATCTTGTAGTTTTAACACTTTATTGTAATCATAACTGTTTTCTATCTTTTACATTTCATATGAGACTTTCTTCGGAATATTATACTTCAACATCTCAAGATTGGAGAGATTATCAGAGCTTTCATCATTTACTGACGAAACTTTACCAAGAAAGAATTCTTTCATGATTTATACTCGTTTAAAACAAAGAAAGTTGATGTGGTGAAAAAGAGTAAATAAAGTTGTACGTTGAGCATCCAAAAACGAATGTAGAGCACGGGTTTTACAGGAAGGTTAATCCAATGCACACAACATACTTACTTGCAGCTGCATGGAGAAATTTAGATAAAGAAAATACTTAGTCAATTTTTCTGAAAAACCTTTGCACGAACTTTACTCAACTATCCAGAAGGATACACATGTACTGATAACAAGAAAGTGCGGAACTTCTATTTTATTTTGTCTTTCATTATTCTAGCGAAACAAAGTGGATGGCAGTCATTTCCCCTAGCTATTGCAAGTAAGCAATGTTGTGTGCATTTCATTAACCTTTTCTATAAGCCATGGTCCGCATTAGTTATTGCATGTTTCAAGTATAACTTAATTTGCTCTTGAAGATCACATCCACTTTGTCTATTTTAAATGAATATGAATCATGAAAACGTCCTAAATCTTGAGATTTTCAAATATAACAAGTCGAATAAATTCTCATATAAAATGAAGAAGACAGGGAACAGTTACTATTACAATAAAATGTTAAACTACAAGATATGGCACAATTTAAAAAAGGAGAAAAATATCATTTTCGTAAATAGAGCCTGTAATTGTGTTACAAGGACATTTTTGGTTTTCTGCAATTTTTTCTTCAAAGAACAAGAGGTGAAGGAGAGAGAGAGAGAGAGAGAGATGAGATTACATGCGCATATCAATAGCCTATTAAGCATTTTTGAAAGTCTATAACTAATGAAAGAAATCTTTTGAATAGTATTCTCTGATTTAAAGAACATTTAAACTTTACTTTAGTATGAAAAATAGTTCATATTAAGATAAGTTAAATTCTAACCAGAATCAGACTTTCACTGGGTCAAACAAAGACTTCACTTGACTGAATTTTTAAATACCATGTTTCCCTATATTATTTATGTATCATTGCAATATAAATTCTATTGGTGAAGCTAATCTCAAAGAAGAACATATCAGATAAATATCATAAGAATAATAGTAGACAAAAGAGTAAGATAGCGATTTGTGACCTTGAAACGCTATGGGCAAGATTATTTTTTTCTGAGATTTATTGTTTGTATTCCAACACTCGAATCAATCTTTTTCAGTATATAACATATTTTGACTGTACTAGAAGAAAACAACAGCCCAAAGAAGACATTCCATATTTTGATCTAGTTATTTTTGCTATTATCTTCCTTTCATTAATCTTCATTTTTAGTCTTGCATGTCATGCCAAAATAAATACCGAGACCCACAGAAACAAAAATGTATAACATCTCGGGAATAACATATATTATGAGAGTTGTTCTAATTTGTTGTTTAAATCGAAACATAGTGACCTACATATTTATTTCATTAGTTAAAGGTATTAATATCATCAGAATAAATTGATAATCATATAAAATATTAACAAAAAAAAAGTCTTACTTAATTTTTCTCAATAATTTCTTGTTATATGTTTAAATGAAAAATCAAAAAGAAATAAATAAAATATTTTGATTTGCATATTATCAATCAAATCAATCCATAATCTTTTGATTTAGTTAATATGAAATAACTTTGATAACATTTGCTTTTAATCGAATTTGTAACTTCATCAGTTGATATTACCTCGTTATGCCGTATACCATACGGAGGGCGTATAATGATGCTATACCCTATACATTCCAACTAAATCTCAAGAATTTATCCTCATTATCTGTATTTTACGTCAAAACAACTATCAGAATTTTTTTGTAACATTCCAGAAAAAAAAGAACCCCTGGATATTATTACTATTCACTGATACAAAAATTTGACGTCAACTAGAATAATTTCCATTGATGATTTTTACTAAGTATGATAACGACTCAAGAAAATTAGAGTTAGAAAAATTATTGAAATGAAGGTTATTTAAACCTACCTGATTTCATGTCGTTTATGTTTTTGTTTTTTTTATTCGAGTCGAGAAAAAGAAGAAATCGGCTCAAACACCGAACAAAAAAAAGAGCAAAAAAAATGAACAGAAAAGAACAAATCAGAAATAAAAAGAAACAAATAGAATACAATGCGTATAGACCGCATTACACTGAAGAAAAAAAAAAGAAAAAGACAAGAGATTTTGATTGAGGATTTAAAAAAGAAGAAGAGGGGGATGAACAAGGGAAAAAAGAAAAAGACTTGATTCGATCTCAGGATGTGGCTGGTGTCACCGTCATTTGAAATTCACCAGCATTACCACCACTGGCAGTTGTCGATGTTCCTGTCCGAGTAATTGATGACGAAGGCGAAGATAAAACAGCAGCAGATGTGGGAATGAGTTGATCACCGGTTGACATCATATTTACTGGAGTTGATATAACGGCATCAACTGACATGGGAGTTAACAATGATGATGAGGATGATATAGGTTGTAATGAGTCTTCTTCATTTGATGATAACATTGTTGTTGTTATCATTGGTGCTGAAAGTGGAGGAGAGGAATTTGATAGATTTGTCGTTGTAGATGATGATGAAGGAGGTGATAGACGAGCTTGGTACCAATCTCGATTTTGTTCTAGTGTTTCTAAAATAGCACTAGCATCTGGATAAACTAAATCGGCCCATGTTTCCCATAATGGATGTACAATAAATTCAATAAAGCCAACTTGATGTTTTTCAACACTAGCTACACGTTTATCACACATAGGTGAAATTTCTATTCCAAGATCACGTTCTTTATCACCTTGACTCCAAAATTCTTCCATTATACGATCAGTCCATTTTATATAAATATCTAATGGTTTAGTTGGATTTGATAAATCAGCACAATGAATCATATTTTGAAGTACTTGAATTCTATCATCATATGATTCAAGCATAATTATATTATTTCCTGTAACTTTTTTTGATTCAACCATTGTTTTTAAATCGGCTAATAATTGCATATGTTTTGACATATCTGTTGCTAAAACCATATCGATAACCATTTTTCGTAGAGTTTTTATTTGTTTAGCTGTTAAATGCGAAAATATATTTCTTTCATCAGCTTGTAATAATTTAAATGCTACAGCTAAGTGATGATTTTCAAGGACACTTTCATCATTATACATTAAGGCTAAATCATTTTCTAAAGTAAAAGATTAAGATAGAAAATTGAATAAAATAATTATGAACATTTTTTTTTAAAGAAAATCTATTTTTATACTTGTATTTATTAAAAATTGATTCGTTACACCGGGATGATCAACATCATGTACTGCCGATGCAAATATTGCTGACATTATTTCTAATTCAGTAAATACACCCTATCGTTAATTAAAACAAAAAAAGAAATTCATAAACAATAATTGTGATTTTCTTCTTACATCAAGTGCTGAAGCATTGAGCAATACATGCATTGATTGACAAACATCAGCTCCATGAGCTTTATTATGATATGGTACTAATTGATAATGATCTTCAAGTGCAAGTAAATACGATATTAATGTATGTGATTCAATACCATATGTTCTTAAAAGTGAACGTTCTTGAAATATTCGATATGTTATTACTGTTAATGGTCGTTGTCCACTTAAATCTTCAATACGAAATGTATCTAAACCCCAATCATTAATATGATCAAGTAATAAACGTAAATCGTCAACATATGGTGTTTCAACACCTAACTCAGGTATTGGACTTGTTACTGCAAATTTTGTTGTATGTATACCAGCTATTTGACCCATTAATGTAGCTGATGATGTTGATGTATCAAGTGTTTTTGTTGTTGTAACTGTTGTCAATTCATCTAGTTGTAAACCACGTGATAAATCAACGTCGGGTTCTTTTTTGTCTATAATAAAATGATTATAACGAATTGTTCTTTTTTTCTATGGTTTCGAATAAAAGATATAATTTACCTGTATAAGTCGAATATAGATAATCACTAATTTGTGCTCCGGATTTATTATTTTCAGCAAAATGGGATAATTCTTTATTGAGCATACGCTTAAACTAAAGATTAAAAGAAAAAAGAAAACGATCAATGATGTATATATTTTATGAAAAACAAAAAAAAAATGATTTTTTTTTTCATAATACTTTGAGCGAGGCTAAATCAGAAACGGATTTATGTGTTTGCATCGTTTCTAATTGTTCTAAACACCAATCAAGTTCTTCTAATGTAGATATAGCTTGTGATAATGAACTATCATCTATTAAATAACAATAAAGAAGAAAAAAAAAATTCAATTTTGAAACTATAAGAATATATGTTTATACCTAGTGGTGTTGTTATCGTTCTATTAAAATTAGGTATAGCTGCTTGTGCACTATTAAGTTGACTTGTTCTCTTCGCTCTATTTTATTAATTAATTAATTAACAAGATTAAGAAAAAAACAATTTCAAATTAATACTTTACCTTTCTGGTGGTATATGAGTAAGATCAACAAAGTTTTTTCGTACATTTTTAAGACTGGCAAGAAGCTGAGCAAATGGTGTAACGATCATATCATCCTGATGCCTATAACATAAAATATGTTTTATGAAAGAAAAAGGATTCAATTTTATTGCCTCTTTCTTAATAATATTAAGCTGATTATATATTGATCTAATTCACAAATTGTTTAGCAATACAACTACTTCTACTACTATGCATTTCCTTTGTCATGTAGAGAGAAAATACAATTAAGAGAGATTCGAATACGCATAGAAATATAGAGAAATAAGTGCGAAATGAAAGGCTGAAATAGAATTGACGACATATCTTCAAAAAAAAAAAAAAAAAAAAAACAAAGACGTGACATGTCATCATTCTACTTAGAATTGTCGTTGTCATCTTTTTCTTCTCGACTACAAAGCTTGACTGAAGAAAAAAAGAAAAATGACAGCAGTTAGTTAGATCTTTTTTTTTGTTAAAAAAAGAGCATTTTTATTTCCTATGATTATGAAAATTATGACAACGTGGACCAGATGATAGCATTTGAAAAAATAAATAATATTAGACAATCAGATTCTTAATCAGAATATTATAGCTACCTACATCTTCGTTGTACATCTGTTTTTTTCCAGTAATTTGTTTAGCTTTTATTGTTCTGACGCGTATTAATGACAGTCTTCTACTTAAACTTTTGACTCTCATTAAGGATTACGTCCATCTTTTTCTTTCCAGACACAGTAGTATTTCACATTGTTTATTCATATGTTCTAACTCAAGTTTTACTAATAGTTTTCTAATTTATAGAAATTTTTGCGATGTAAATTAATTGATTAGAATTAAAATTTGTTGAATATTTAATAAGATTAAACTAATGATGCATTAAAATTTTCGTTTCTATTTCAAACTATAATAAAAAAATAAATAAAAGAAAATATATTGAATATTCTTATTTTTTTCAATTATCCAAAACAAAAAGAAAAAGAAAAACGAACATTATCATAAACGAAAAAAGTCAAAATAATACCTTTTTATCCACGAAACATGATAAGTTGGTTGATGATTAAAAGTAAGTTCATTTTCGTAAGGTAGTAAACAAGTTGCTAATGGAACTAAACATTGTCGAGTGTCAAAGTCTGTCTGACTTCGTGCTCGCATAATAGACGACGTCTGATGTTTCTATTGCTATTAATAGATCTATTTCTGTTTTCTCATTTTTTGTTTGCTACTACTTTGTTGTTACTGATTGGTGCGGATGAGTTGAGTAACAAAAAGAAAGAAGGGAAGGAGGGATAGAAGACGACAAGGAGGTTCTACAAAGAGTGAGCATGAGATAAGAAACAAATGTGTGTCTAACGTTGTTCTGTCAAAAACGCAAATGAAACAAACTCTGACTACAATGCACGAGTAAAACTCTGGCACCGGACGTGTATAGCGAATAAAAGAAAAAAAAGAAGAAAGAACGCAGAAGGATAGATTATAAAACTGCCTAACAATGTGATATGAAAAGAAAAAAAAGATGAAGACGAAGAAGAAAGATAAAGGCTAAGATGTTTGAAATGTGTAAATATAAATATAAATATAAATATAAATATATTATATAATTAGAATACTTACTTGCTCGATAGTTTAGAACCAAGTCTTAAAATTGGTTTTTTAAAAGCGCTTTTGACACGCTCCATAATATTTGTTCTCTTGTCTATTGATCAACCATTCATACTCATTCTTATTCATCGATTGCGCGGCATATTTTTCGGTGCATGGTAGGTAGCCGACAGACAGTCAGACAAGAACGCGTGTCTTAACATTACCAGGGTACAGTTGGCAACAAAAGAGATAGAAAGAAAGAGAGTGCCCGACGAAAGAAACGATCGCGAAGAAATAAAGAAAGAAAAAGAAAACAAAAATGTGGGCGAAGAAGAAAAGAAAATGATACTCTTTCTTTCGTTCTTTCTTTTCTTCTATTTATCGATTCAATATATTTGAACTACTTACAGTTCTGATCCGATCGACGGATTACGCGAGATACATTTCGGTGAAAGATCATTATCACTATCACACTTATATAAAAATGATTCGCGTCTAAGAACTCCACTGGTACTGTTTGTTGCTGTTGCTGTTGTTGTTGTTTTATTAACTGCATTTGGTACACCATGTTGATGAAAATGTGGTGATGTTGATATATTATGATGAGAATTGAGAATACCACGTGATGATGATGAACCATCCACATCGAAACTAAAATAGAATAATACAAAAATCGTGTTTTTTGTTGTTGAAATAAAACTGATTCTGTTGTCATTTTCTTAACATAATAATATTAAGAAAGACATAAACATTTTCTTTTCTCACTCACACCACTGCCACATGGCATCACTCAACTGCACTTCGGGCATGGTTTTCAAGTAGCGATAAAATGCTTCATATTCATCTCTCTGATGATAAGATGAAATGTCTATATCTGCATGTAACTATACGTATGTATACACGTTTAACTTCCACTTGCTCAACAAAACGTGTTGATGACGACAGGAGAAGATGCTAACGACGATAACGACGAACAAAATGTAGAAAACGAATGTGATTAGAAAGCAATATATATATATCTACATAGTCACGCTTCATGTCTTTCTCGTATATATACATGATTATATCGTCATTAAAGTGCACATAAAAAAAACTTCAATTGTTTAATATCATTGTATAGAATAGTTCTTAACTTCAATTTCCGTATTGTTTTTTTTTTCAGCAGCATTATTGCTAGTTGAAGTAAACAATCCATCTACACTTCAGTATATTTATCTTCCTCTCAAACGAATTCAACGTCGTTCAATGATTAGAATGAGAAGATTTTTTTTTCTTTAAAACTAGTCTATAGATTATTGGATTTAATTATCCAAAATATTTGTACTAAAAATAGGTTTTGTTAACTTTTCTTACGGAAATGCGGGGACGGGTGGGTGGAGGAGGGGAAACAAGAGAGCGATGAGAGGGAGTAGGTAGTTTGATATTTTTTCTTCGTTCCATTGAACTGAAACAGAAATAAGAAGAATAAGTATCGATTTTCTTTCAACAATATATATTTTCCGGATAAGCTGAGCTTTTTAATACGAAAACAGTCCCTATGGTCATAAAAAATATTCATACTAATGAAAATCCTTTCCTTGAGGGAAATTTTCTGATTATTATGTCTCTATCTTCTCATTTGCTTCCTAACAAATACCATTTGCTTTATTGATAATTGATTTAATGTAAGATATATTCATGCATAAAGAAATGTTGCAAACATATTTTTGTTTTGTTTTGCTTTGTTTTGCTTTGCTTTGCTTTGTTTTTATATATATCTTACGTGTTTTCAGTTTCATAGATTTGCCTATTTTGTCGTTAACAAAGTCTTAAATCATATGAAACATTTCTGTTATAATAATTATAATTATTATTATTCAGTAATAAATCAAATATTTATGATCCAAAAAAAAAAATGTTAAATAATCAAATGAAGAATATTTAACGGATTTTTCTAGCAGGTGTAAGTCTGCTTTTTGTCTCTTATTTTCTTTTTCTTTTTGTCAACTAACTAAATATACATTTAGCAGAGAACAGACATATTGTTGAAAGAATCTTTAGATATGCACTTGGAAACTGTGTATTTGATTGGATAGTATTGAATCATCGTCAATATGTACAAACATATATAGAAGAAAGATATGTTAAATTTGACAGTTTGTTCATATATTCTTTGATAAGAACTCATCGATCATATCGATAATGTATAAGAACAAAACTAATCGTATATTAAGAAATAAAGAAAACCGACCTTATTCCATCATCAATATCTCTCCCTTTTTTGTTATGCATAGATTGTCGTAGACTACGACGAAATGTAAATCGTCGACGTAAACGTGGTTGTGGATCACTTGATGGATTTGATAACTCATTTTGTTGCTGTTGTTGTTGTGATAATGATGTTGATGATATTTGATTAAATCTTTCGAAAAATGTTTTATTTCTTCTTGATAATGTTTGTTTTTCAGGTGGTGTAGGAAATGATGATGTTGATGATGGACTAGGTAATGTTACATTTGGTACTGGTATTGGTTTCGATTTTATACGATTTGATATCATTTGAAATTGTTGAATTTTTGTTGATGTTGGTGATGATGATGATGATGAAATTGATGTTGGTGATAAAGCAAAGTAGACGGTAAGCGTCGTCATGAAAGTAATGATGACGGCAACGATGATGATGATGGTGGCGATGATGATGATGATGATGATGATGATAATGCCGTAGTGAAAACGGAGTAGTGAAGAGAATAAGTCCGGAAATCGACGTCGACCGTCAACAACGAGCGAGCGACAACAACAACAATAAATCGAGACTCTCTACTTTCTCTATTCTTTTTTAGTCATCGGAACGAACGACAAAGAGTGTTTGTGAAGGGAAGAGAGACAGAGACAGACAGTTAGAACGACGTAGAAGAGAGAAAGAGCAGATGCAATAGTGATGGTGTATTGGCTGAAGATAGCAATGGTCTTTCCGTTCGGTTGGCTTGCATGCTTACAACTAGGAAACTCTAGTTATTTTCTAACTACAACGATTTTGGAAGGATGCAGAACGCAATAGAATGAGAGACATTCAACTTCACATCGGCAAAGGCAATCATCCTAATGGATTTTCTCGCTTCAGCTCACTACATCTTCATACAAACATACATTCACAGTTTCAAGTTAACAAGTTCATTCACCGATTGAACGAACAATAATTATTTGTATTTAGAATGATAGCAATCTGATTTAAAATAGTTATTTATTCATCTATTGACTGATATTTAATAATATGAAAAAAGGAACTTGTATATTTTTCAATATCATATTTATGAACTATATGAATAGTGGATATATATTTATAATAATAAATTATACATTCTTAGTTAATAAAAAAATTTTTTCAAAATATAATTTTTTTCTCCTTCTCTATTTCTTATTTTTATGTTTTTTGTTTTCTGGTTATATAATCAGAATTCGAAACAATTGTGTCAAGCAAAAAGAAGAAGAAAAGACCCATCATGTACAAAAATTAGTATCATTATTATTATTAAATATGCTTGTATATATGTGTTATATGGACTGTTTCTTCTTCTTTGGAGACTTATTATTCTTGTTGTTGGGCCAAGTAAATGATTTTCTTTTCTTTTTTTTCTACGACATAATAAACATGTTTTTTCCTGATGTCTGTAAACATGTAGTGATAGAGTGCCTGTGCATTTATCTACCTGCTATCATCTTTTTTGAATATAAAAATTTCATTTGAATTTGTTTTAATAGAAATAGAAGATAAAACAAAAAAAAAATTTTTTTCAAATCTTTTATCGCGATTTTAGTAAGATTATGAACGAAAATATCAACCTTATTGTCATTATTATCAATATAAAGAAAATTTTATTGATAAGAAAGACGAGCGATTAATTCAAGTATAAAATTTCTTGTTTGTTTGTTTTTCTTATATAATGTGGAACTTGATTTTGGAGTGAACAAAAAAATTCTGTACATATTATTACTTTCTATTAACTCGAAACGGCAAGATATATTTCTTAATATGGATGTAATTTACCTGCTTTTGTTATTGACTATGGTACTACTAGTACTATTATTAGTACCGCCAGTAGTTCGTCGTCTCAATATAATCTGTCCAAGACGAGTTAGTAAAGGTGGATTTGTAGAGGAAGATATAGCGGGAATTGCTGTGATATCATCAAGAGTTGTCGAACTCGGTCGACGACTATGATTTGATGAAACACATGAAGTACAAGCTGAAGCCATTCCTCCGCGTCGACGACGTTTTTTTGTTGATTTTGTTAATGTTGGTATTGTTATTGAAGATGATATTATTGCTGGTTTTGTATTTGTTTTTCGATGATTTCGTATTAGATTTTTTGAAGGACGACGTGATGAAATACTTGGTGTTGAACTTTTTCGATGTGTAAAATTGTTCTTTGAAGTTTGTTCGACTGGTTGTCTTTGAGAAGAATTTCTTCTCTCGCCGCAACATTGAAATGGAAAGGAACGAATATTTATTGAGGAAAATGAGCTAAAGGATCGTGGTGCTGATGATATAACTTTTTTTTCTTGTACAGTAAGAAAAGGTTGAATAGTAGAGACTAATAATTCCGACGACGATGACGATCGTGTGATCGAAATGACCGGCGGTGGGGAATTATTGGTGACACTCGTGATTGACTTCTATGTAAATGATGACAACGACAACAATGAAGAACCAAGAATTGGCATACACACGAGAGCGACTTTGTTTATTGTTGACAAACTACATACATACATACGAACGGGGGCGTTTCTTTCTCTTTCACTCTCGGTCGTTATTACTGCTGTTGCCGCTGCAATGGCTGCTGTGGCCTGCTGATGATGATGCGAGAAACAGAGAACAACGACGATGCTCCTGGTGGCCGTAGCACCCAATGCAACGTCACAATAAATCGTGCGACAAAAAAAAAAACAGAACGGGCGAACACGACAGTGCAAACGTACGTACTACTGTCTTTTTTCCTTTTTATTCGACCGTACGTTTTTTCTTGCTTTTTCTTTTCTTTTCTTTTCTTTTTCTAGTCTTTTTTTTTCTCCCTATTACATTTCAATGGAGTATCGGTGTTGGTAGCAAAAAGAGGACGTGTGCGCGCATGTGTACAACGGTGAGAACAAACGAACGAACATCAACAACGATTTTTACGTTCTCGCTTGCATATTATTACAACAGTTTCTATCAATACTGTTCTAGCGACCATAACTATCGAACTGATGATGATAAGACAAAGATAGCAACATATCAGAGATGTCGTCATTGCTCTCAGCATACTAAGTCAGAGTGACATACAAGTAAAAGAAAAATCTTCTTGCTCTATCCTCTACTTGAAAAGGGCATTTTTTTTCTTTATCGTATGATACATATACATCTATACAAGCCAAAGTGTCAATCAGAGTGTATGGCGAAAATGAGTTTTACTCGTCTGCTTTCTAATGATCAATACCAAAAGCTATAGTAAATGATGATATAGAAAATAACTCTGTCACCTGGCATTCTAAGACAAAAAAAATCGTTTTTCTTTTTTTATTTCTTGTATGTCAAATATTTTCTGACAATTACTTGATTAACGTGTTGCAAATAATTAATTATCTATATTGGCTAATAAATAATCGTTAAAATTAAGAGCATGTTTACATTGAAAAAAAGAAAACAAATATTTTCATATTTTTGACAATTCATACAATGAGACATGTCGTCTTGTAAATAAATAATTGGCCTCAAGCATTTTCTTTTTGAGTAGAAACATAAATTATGATGTAGACAGAAGTAGAAAACGATTTATATTTCTTTCAACATTTAGTAATATAACATTATTATTTGTGTATGAAAACAACTAAATAGTATTTTTTTGATCGATGATCAAATGTGTTTACGAATGAAATGATTAAGTTTCATAGTATATAGTTGACGACAGTCAATATTTAACTAAAGAAAATTGCTTGACTTTCCGGTAAAACAAAACAAGACGAAGGTATTGAAGTAAATTGACACAACAAAACAAAACAAAAAAAAGAAAAAGAAAATAAAACTAGTTCAAAAAAACGAGAATATAACTTTGATTAAATTATGTTACTGTACAAGAAAATAGGATTATTGCAATAATTTGGTAGCTTATTTTTATGATATAAAAGAAAAAGAATTTCTATTTTACTTATATTTAATTAACTCAAAATAAATGTAATATAATACTTGTTGACTAAATAATATTTCGTGATAGAAATCTTACTGTCATCTTAAATTCATTTTATTTAATCAAAAATATAATAAACAATATAAAACTTTTTCCTTTAAATCTATCATTTAAAGACACGGTTAGTCTTGTCGTTTTTCGTGTCTATTATTTTCTCGTGTAATAAATCATAATTTTGAATTCAAACGCTTTTGATTGACAACTACTAACGTGCACAATATATACATTAACAAAAAACATGTAAAAGAAAACAGTATGTATTTCTAAAGACAAAACAAAAATCCGAAGAAAAAAAAACATCCGACTTAATGACGTTTTATTATGCAAAAATCTACCTAGAATATTTTTTTACCGACACAATCATATATTGCTATTCATAATTGTAATAAATATTACATGACCATCATTGTATTTCTTCTATCTACATATATATTCATAAAGAAGGTTTTTAGTGGGTTCTTTAAATTATTAAGACGCAATTAAGATTGCGAAGTATGATACAGAAGAAAAGAAAACTAATTTTGAATCAAAAATAAATAAATATGATTTTATCTAACTATATATTTTTATTTTTAATTACTCATAACATAGGATTATTCATAAAAATATGTTACACTCATAAAATATAGATCATATTTTAAATTTTTCATCTTAATGTCTTCATTTTGACGATCATAGTTTTGTTTATAATACAAATAGTTCTATACTATTTTAAAAGTTATTCCGATAGAAAAAAATGTTGATTTTAGAAAAGAAAACAATTTTTTTTCTACTTAAATTAAACACTAATTTTAAGAATGTAAAATCTGTTGACATCTTACATTGTCTCTTGTTTAATTAGAAAAAAGGAACTCATCTCATCATTTACATGTAACAAAAAAAGAACATCAAGCTTGTATTCTCTAGCTGATTTGTTTTTAATCAATGTTAATGAATAGATAATAGTCATGCAATGTAAAAACAAACTATTTATTAAGTTACTGTTTGTTTTTTACTGGTCTTAACAAGGTAAAAATCAACAAAATATAGTTTTCAATAAATAAATAAATAAGTTTGCTCACTTAACACGTTTGCCAATCTGAGCAGGTCCAATCGAATGACGTCGTTCATTTACAGGTATGCCAAGAAAATGTCGATAAAAATTCATGATGAATATTTAAACGTAGACTTATGTAAAATTACAAAAACAAATAAAATTTTGTTTTGTAACTATTATAAATATGAACATATAAATACAAACGCTAAAGTCAAATGACGGAAGGAAAGTGCTAATAAGACACAAATGAACACACACGCATGCAAACTATATTCATAGTCTTGGCATTTGCCGTTTTTGTTTTTGTTTCTCGCTCTATTTCTCTCCTATTCTTTTTTTCTCATTACATTGTCAAACATCAACTTCATAATAACAAATGAAAGTTCTCACCGTGTAGCTTCAGCATTTGTTACATTTATAGAGGAAGTAATATCAGAATTTCGTGCTGATATATATGAAATAACATTCGCCCATGAATGTCGACGTTCAGGATTAAATGATGGAACAATAAGGAAATGACGAATAGATGATGATGGAGGTGTTGAATCTTGATTGATACTTTCACCTAGCGACATACGGATAATATTTGACTATGATCTTTCTTTTTTTTTTCTCCTTATCGACGATTACAAACGTTAATCGCTTTAGAATAATAATAAAACACGTGCAATGCTATGCACACAGTTGCAGATTGTTAGTGTGTCTTATGAATACAAAATAGAATTGCGTTGCGCCTGGATCGATTCTAGCGACTATTTTGATAGAATGATAAGAGAACAAAAGCAGAGTTCGTTTCGTTGAAAGATGCGAAAACAGGCATACTGAGATAGACAATGGGGGGGAACGTCCTAGTAGTGGAGTTAGTCGAGCGAACGGATGTTATATTAATTTATATGGGCGAAGGATGGTCTCTCACGCGCTTTCTCTTTCTCTTGTGGTGCCGGTTTTGTATGTTCGATGACAATATTACGATAATAAAAAAGAGAAAAACAATTGGCAGACGACTCGATCAAAATCTTTTCACATCTGTTGATCGTTGTGGTTAATAAACGATTTGTCTAAAACCCGGATGCCATCTATTGAAAATCATCATGCTTATACATTTAAAAATGAATTGATCACGTCAAATAATTTGAAGTATAATAATAGAATTTCAATTGAAAATCAAAAGTAGCAAATGTCTGCATCATTCTCTGTGCGATGAATTAAATACCTAATCGAGTTTTCATGCCGACATTTCCTGCTTATATAATATAAATGAATATATGTGTCTATTTTTTTTCTTTTTCTTACTCGTTTTTTCTCAATTTGTCTTATCATTGACCTAATGTCGATCTCTGTCGATCATGTGTGATTTTTCTAGTCGAACAAGTTTGATTATTATCTTGGGTTATCCGTGCATATTCTCGATTATTACTATTATAATTTATCTTAATGGTACTTATATTCTACTAAGAAGAGAGAAAGAGAGAAAGTAATCTTTCTCATTGCTTCTTTTTTTCTCATTATGAATAGTTATTTTTCTATTAAACATCATCATCGTCTTAAACAAGACTAAAATTGCTAATGGTCTCTGACATAGCAGTCCTAACAACTTCTATTATTTTGTTCTAGGATCATTAGTACAATAACAAGAAAAAAAAAGAAGGAAACGAATAGAACACAAATGAAATTCATAATAAAAAACGAGAAACATCAAGATGATGATTATTTCCGGCATAACATCAAAAAATGCTAAATAAAATTTAACGAATGATAGCAATTTGTCATTCGACGGTTATTTAATTTGAACATAGATAAAGCCTAGCATAGCAATAATAGATTTTCTATTATCTCGAAGGTTTCAATTCGATGTAAAAAGAAAACAATATCTTTGATGATTTATTCTTTTTTTCTTACTTTATTGTTCTTTAAAGATGACAAAAAACGGAAATTCATTGGAATTAACTTATGGAAGAAAAGACTTCAAGGTGTTCATTAAAATATCCTATTTTTAGATGACGTTTCAATATCTTTATCCTTTCATGCATGCAATGCAATTTTATCTCTACTAAAAGTTAGCTTCTTAATCATTTACATGCAAACGCGAAATAAGATATTTTCTCTAATTGAGCAAAAATAGAGAATTACATTAAAGAACATGTAATTTATCTTTTTTTCAATTAGAAGATAAAAAAAAAACCATTCATATCATAATTTTTTTTTTTTTTAATTATTTCCTTTTCGATTACTTATTTTGCTTAATAGATAAATTATATTAGCCTATAGCGATAATCATAAGCACAAAATTCTTTCCTGAACAAAGAATTAAGTATAGTCTTCTTTCAAGAATTTCGACGAAGTCAATAAAAAATAAACATAAATAAATATAAAATTGATATTTATTTATTTATAAATATTAAATTTTTGAAGTAAATACCTTCGTGTTTGAAGTTTACCATGAATTAAACGCCGTCGAATTGTCGTAGTAGCCATTGATGTATTTCTCTTTCTTTCAGATGAATTTAATATACACTATATAGATATGCATGTGAAACCTACGTTGCTGTTTATTTGTTGAAAGATCACATTAGTTAAAAGTAATGTTTATGCTGTTCTTCGTTTTCTTTTTTCTCGTTTTTTCTTCTTCTTCTTTATCGTTGTTTCAACAAAAGCGAGAATTTCAAACGACACACAGACGTACATCAACACTTGAGATCAATGACGCGCTCATCTTTATTTCCACAACTTATCTTTTAGCTTTGCTATTAATATTTTCTTTTTTCCTTCTGTCTCTCTCTCTCTAAGTACCTATTTACAAAAAAAAAATGCCGACTGATTTCTACTACACAATAAAAATGCTCATCTTCATTTTGTACATGAAAAATAAACCGAAATAGATCAATGATAAGAGAAATATTGCATGCAACAATGTTAGTCAAATATAATCTTTCTTCAATCAATATTAGTAATAGAAATGTTTATGAACATACTGAATAAATTGACTTCTTGGATAGATGTTGTATGTTTTTGTAAAAATACATTCTATTGACATATGATCAAGTGTGAAATATGATCGTTTGTAAATCATTTGCTGTTATGAATATGATCTACAAGCAGTCCTTCTTTTTTTTATGACTCAATTCTATTAAATATCATTAAAAACAAAGAAAAGTATAGATGATTCATGTATCTTTTTTTTTTCATTGATTATATTCTAATAAAAAGAATAATTCATGCTTATGTTCTAAATAAGTTAACATTATTTGAAGAGAAAAAATATTTTCTTACTATATTAAATACTTTCTTTTTTTTCTAGTACTAAAACTCTAAACTATATTTCTTGATATTTAATTATTGAAATTGTATTGACGTCAGAGAAGCACTTAAATTTTTAAGTTTTCATTTTTTTTTCTTTATACGCCAATATCTCAATAAGAATACAATAGGATTTCTATGATCATATAATGCTCTACTGTTTTTTAAGTATGAACAAAAAATAGATGAGATGCTTCAGACATATTGAAAATTGAAATCAAATTGAGACTGCTCTTTGAACTTGATTAAAAAGGAATGCATATTTATATATTTATTTACTGATAACGTTTCATTTATATCTTTATGTATGATTGTCACACAAGATAAAACTTTATATGAAGAATAAAAAAATATTTCTAAAAGCTAAATATATTCTTCGATAGAAAACTTTAATTTTTATCTTAAAATGTTTTTCAAGTATATGTTAATATCTCTAGGTTGAAGCCTGTAGAAAAGAATAATATTTTGTTGTTCGATGAATATTCATGATAGAGAATAGCATGACATACTAAGCTATTCATACAATGTAAGCACTTCAGCTGTTGTTTTCACTTAACTATAGAGTAGTTCATTTGTTAGACAATTATAAAAAAGAAAAATTATAGCTTTCATGTTTATTAAGAAATATTCGAATACTTTATTTAATGATAAAAATAGAATTATCATTTTTAGTTATATTACGGTTACCGGCATAGACATATTTCTAATGATAAAATAGGTAATGTTTTATGAAGAACAGGGTGGTGTTTAGAAAGTGGCTGAAGAAAGCAAAATGTGAATACCACTGTTATGTTTTGATGCAATAGACTAATATATTTATTACTGATAAAAGAATATTCATATGAAAAATATTGTTAAAAATTCTTTTGAAGAATTAACAAATGATTTTAACAAACAACTGTAACATTTTCTGAGTTATCAAAAAACAATATGATGGCAGTTTTATCAACAAAGTCTTGCTGTTGATAGCTGAAATCTTGCAGAATACACTAAATAATCACATATATATATGTAATATAAATATAAGTCCAAGCGACATTAGTATGAAGAATTAATTGAAAAAGTGAGGTATTACTTATTCTTGACTAAAGCAAATAAATATATCGTTGTTTTCATAACTCGCGAAAAGGTTACAATTCTTTGTTAAAGTCACTTGTTTATATTTCAGAACAATTTTTAATAACATTTATTCTATGAATATCACTGTATTAGTAATAAAAATGTCAGCCTATTGAGTTAAAATATACCGGTGATAGTCACATTTTATTTTGTCGAGTGACTTTGTAGACACGCTATACAGTATTAATAAAAAATATGAGGTCAACAAGTTTTTTTTCTATAACATCAAGCTTGTAACTCAAATCCAAATAGTAATTTAAATAACCAATGAAATTCCTTATCAAGTGCTTTTCGTACCGAACTTCCATAGATAAATTATGAGAGAAAGATTTCTGCAACAACCAAACATGGCAGTTTTCAGGTCTCAACAGACTATGTGAAAATTAGTTTTGAAAGTACCATATTAAAGAACAAAAAATCTTGAATAAAATGAAGGGTAGCAGCATTTCCTGCGATCTTTCCTTAAAAAATTATGAGCATCACAAAAAATGGGAAAGACGTGAAATTTCTCAGAGCACGCATTCTTTTGTTTTATTTTTGTCATGCTTAAAATTTTTCGAGAGAGATGATCATAGGAAACGTAGCAACTTCTCATTTTATTCCGGATTTTGTGTTCATTAAGATAGTACTCGTAAAAAATAATTTTCCTAAAATGTCCTGAGGTCTGAAAACTACTATGCTCGGTTTTTCAAAAACCTTGTTCTCATAGGGCATCTATAGAATTTCAGTATGAAATAAAAAAAAATATCGTTGGAGTAATAGTGTTGATCTATTGTTCATGTCTATGAAAATGTAGATGAAATACTAAATCTTTTTACATATATTTACATTCTATGAATTCTACAATTAATATTCAACATCTCTATTTATGTGAGAATATTTTTTTTCCATGAATAATGATGAGAGAGAAAATAAAGAATTGTCATTATCGTCAATGAAACATTTCTTCCAAACTTTTGAACAGGTCTCCTTGCATGACTAAGAATTATAATTACAACTAATTAGAATACTTACAATCAATTAAACTGATTTAATAATTCTATTAAATCGATAAAAATAAAAGAATGTTAAAACTTTTACAAATTATCTATTGAAATTAAACATTTCATTTTGTTTAAATAAGACTTATCAACTAATACTTTAACCAATGCATATAGTACATAATACTATTATTTTTAAATTGATAATTAACTAAACATGCTCAGATATACTGAAAATATCTATGAAGAAAAATTCAATTGATTATTATAATTATCAAAAACAAAAAAAAGAACAATCAAAATTGAATTATATTCCTCTTTGATAAATAATTATATATAATCTAACGAATTTACCGTGTATGACGACAGTGATGCTGATGACGATAATGATGTGTTTTAGGTCCATTAACAGTAAGATAAGTTGTTGTTGGATGTAGAAAAATACCTGTATTAATTGTTGATGGAAGTGTTGTTGTACTTGTTGATGTTGATATATTTTCTTTAGTATTCGTTCGACTAAATTTAACTAATGATGGTGAACATGAATATAATGATGATCGATTAAATATATCAATTGGTGGTCGAGGTTCTTGTCGTGGTAAACAAAAATCACGAAGAGTAGTAGTTTGTCGTAAATTTGATGAAATAGGTGACCATGCTGGTGGAATTGATGAAATTATACAACGATGAGCAGATTTTAATATTGGTCTTTGAAATGATATTGGCGATGGAATAAATGATGAACCTGATGAAACATCACTCCATCGTAGATTACTAGCAGTAGCTGTCGTACATGTAGAACAAAAACTTAAACTAGTTAAATCTTGCCGACGACGAGTAATCATTATAAGAAATTTTTAAGTAAAAGTTCAAACCTCCATCTAAAGAAAGTATCATATTGATAAGGTGAGTTTGTTGATATGGTTGTGTCATGTTCAGTCGTATTGGAATTATATACGTGAGCATAAGAACAATTAAATTAGTAACGACTTACACTTCCTTTCTTTTTTCTTTCAATTCTGCCTCACTAAGCTTTGTTTCTTTTTATTTTATACTTTTTTTCGCTGGATAGTCACTCGTTCAATTTATGCTTATCAAGGATAAGAATAAATGTATTGAGATATGGCAACTACTAATGATGAGAGCGTAGGAAGAAATAGAGTTGAAGTCGTGCTCTTCGACTCTATATTAGACTCGTGGCAATTACAAATTTCCGTTGTGTTTTCCACTGTGCTTGTAAAAAAAAAATGAAAACATGTATATACGCTTGAGGATCTCTTTTTCCTTTTTTCTTCTTCTCTCATTCTTCGTATGAAGCAAAAGCATGCATTGAGTTAGCTTAGAACCAAATACCTCCGGGTTTTTGGACTTTTCCTATCTGCCACTGACATATAATTGAAGACAGTCAACTCAATCACTCATTGTTTATATGTTCTTATACTTTATTACGGAATAAGAAATTGTCGAAATTAAATGAATAATATTAAATTCATTGAACAATAAAAATATTGGAAAAAAGAAAACAATGTACGATTAAATTCTATATTGTTTATGTTTACTTTTTGATATTCTTAATGACTGCTTCTGATGTAGTTCGTATTGCTGAAAGGAAATTATTAATGAGAAAAACAGACGAATACAAAAAAAAAAAAATTTTATATATTTTACTTGTGATATATCTGTCAAGTTTTCTTATCAAATAAACAATAGCCAATTAGTGTCAGTCACGAATGACAGTATTTATTTCGTGTCACGAATAAAAGCTAGTTGTCTATGTTGGCGTTAAAAGGCGTTTTATGAATACAAAACAAAAGAAATTGTAATACGTCAAGAAAATAAATGATTATTGGAAACTGTTCGATCGTTGATCAGCTAGAAACTAAAATAAAACTTGATTTTTTTATTTTCTCTTTTTTTTATAAACATTCTTTTTATCTGATTTATTTATATATATATAATTACATATAAAGATCTTTTCTGTGTTTCTCATCTGAACGATGAAAAGTTCGTCTGCATACATCTGGAAATTTCTTTTTCCTTTTTGCCTCTTTTTACTGCATATTCATTGAAAATAGAAGAGAGAACAAGATAAAAGTCCGCTCGGTAATTCAGATATATGTTTTAACGTGTTTAGAAAGAGATAAAAGGGATGTCTCGTCATCGATGCTTTCATAGATAATACGCATCTCATTTAGTGCTATATTAGGATGCAGGCCTCGGCAACGATTGAGATCAATCGAATTCTTGCAAAAGAGATAATAAATGCATAGAAATGAAAAAAATTCTTTTTTAATTAATAGAATAATAAAGATGAGAGTTGGAAGTGAAAAAGAATTACTTTTTTAAATTATACTAAACATGAATTTCTACAGCATTTTACAACGAATGAATTTATTTACGAATTAAAAATGACAGTTCAATAGTGAATTATTGAGAATCTATAATAGAAAAGAAGCTTTATAAGAAATAATCTATAAAAATGAGATGCAATGGTTTTCTTTTGTTATCACTGTTATGTTAAAATAGTTACAATCATGTTTTACATGCGAAACATGTTTCAATGATACTGTTTTTTGTTTTGAATATCATTTTACATCGGATGATTTGTGATATTGATAGATATTCATATTATAGAAATTTAGAACTATACGAGTTTTTCCACTTATAGAGAATACTTTTTTTTCTTTGAATACAGAAAAACAAACTTTGGCATGGTAAAAGGCGACTACAAGAATTTGACCCCGGAAGGGGATGTATGTAGGTTTGTAGGGAAAGGCTTTCTCTATCTAATGGTGTATGTATTATCAAGTTCTGCTGCGTACCAAAATTTTTGATAGATGGCGCCACATTCGCTATTACTCTATAGAATATACAACGAATGTGGCGCCATCTATCGAAAATTTTGGTACGCAGCAGAACTTGATAATACATACACCATTAGATAGAGAAAGTCTTTCTCTACAAACCTACATACATCTCCTCCCGGGGTCAAATACGATCCTGAAACTTGCAGTCCTATTTGATAAAAGTAAATTTTCTTTTAACAAGTATGTTAGAAATTTTGAAATGATTTTAGACTATGAAATAGCTACAAACTTTAAGATGTATAGCTTTTACTATGAATAAGAATCGTCAAGAACACTTTTTTGTACTATATTATCAATTTTCAAAAAGCAACATGTACTGAAAATCAAAAATATTTGCTTCGAACATTGATGGAAGAGGTATAAAAGTATATCCATAGTAAAAGCTATAGATCGAGAAGTTTGTAATCATTTAGTATTAATTAGTTACAATAATCTGCCAAAATTTTAAAGAATTTCCTTGTGTTTCATACAATAACTATCAATTTTAAAATCGCTCAAGAACTTCTAGAACACTTCTTATATGTCATATGTCGTGTATAGATATTAAACTAATGATTGAGTTTGTGATATTACAAAGTTCGACAAAATGATGAAAATATCTATATATTCTGTACATATCTATACTTGTTAAAAGTATCGTTCATTATTAATAAAAAAGAAAAATATCTCATCAAAATCTTTATGTGCCCATTTGTTTTATTCAAATATTCAATAATATATAGAATAACATAAAAAAATATTGATATATTTTTTTTATAAAACAGGTTGAACGCATTGATAAGAACAGTTACCGCAACATTTGAAATTTCCTTCGCAATCACTGTCAGAAGTATATTGAGCAATATATATTAATGATATCCGATTATGTTAAACATGAACCGGCTTCTTCGGTTGGTTGCGTATTTGTTGGCGCAACTGTTTTAGAAAGAGAACAACAAACAGCATAAGCATCATTTGGACCAATGATACATTCATGAGTTGTTGGACAATCTTGTCGAGTAGTACTACGACCACAATAATAACCTTCAAGTGGAGTTTGACCATTTGGGCATGGACCTACGTTCTTTTTACAACAGCTAACATCCAATTGAGTTATTATAAACATGATGAATATGAATAATACGATTTTCATTACAACTATTTCTTGTTCGAAATCTATATCAATAATTTTTTGTTTATAAACTGAAATCGTTTTTATTTTATTCCATATTTTTGGCACGCATTTATATGTACTCATATGATGATTCGATAGGCAACAGATGGACAAATATTCATCATTTTCGTCTGTTGGCTAATAGGTTTTTTTTATATAGTTTTATTGTTTGTTGAAGCAGATTTCACCCATTGTCTATGATTTTTTTATGTATCAAGAACATTGTTGAATAATGTAAATGAAAAAACGTTAGTATGCTATCTATTTTTATCAAAATATTATCAATGAATACATAGATCACACTATTGTATTGATTTTATTATATTATTGGACGCTATGTTAAATAGTCTTTTTGATGAAAAATTTTTAAAGGATAGATTTTATATATTGACGATGGCTGTTATAATAGAGATACGAATTGTCTTAAATAGATTGACTAGAATTGAATGAAAACCATACACAGCATAATTATCATTAGAAACAAATATAAATGGTGTATATTTGCATTTTTCTAATCTCGTTTTAAGTCAATATTTTCAACATTCATATGTACAGATATATCCTATATTGGAACTCATTCTTATTATAATAGTGTTCTTCTAATAAAATAATGATAGTAAAATAACGTTAGGTAGTTAAATTTTGTCAGTTGACGAGATTCTAGGACAATGGGTCACATCACATATCAGTCTTAAAGTGCCCTCAAAGGAATATCTAGATAGATATGTCAGTATAGATTTAAGTACAGAAGAGATACCCTTAGGATCCATGAATTCGCAATTCAAGGAAATTCGAGAAAATCAACCAATCCAATACACGTACATAAGATATTACATTACCCGCCTTCACTACGATAGAATTCTGACAAATTCCAAAAAATAAAGTAATTCAAGAGACTGAAAGCAATATCCAGCGCATCAAATAACTTTCAATTATATCCCATGAAAGTATCGTGGAATTGAAGGAAATCAAAGAATTCAAGAAAATCGAGCATTTCAAGGAAACTGAACCAATTGAACGAAATTCAAGAAATTCAGCGCATCATGTTACTTTGACTTATGTCCCTTGAAAGTATCATGGAATTCAAGGAATTCACGAAAATCAACGGATCATATAACTATGAATTGCATCCCTTAAAAGTCTCAAAAAATTCAAGGAAACAGAGGGAATTTTGGTGTGGATGTGGGTGTGGGATGTGAGTGTGGGTGCTGATGTGGGTGGGCTGAAGGTGGGGTGTGGATGTGGGAGAAGAGATAACTTTAACACTCACATCCACACCGCGCACCCGCCCTTACTATCTACCATGGTTCAATTCCTTGAATTGCTTTCAGTTTCCTTCAATTTCTACAATTTCTAGAATTGCTTGATTTCCTTGAATTCCATGGCACTTCCAGAGGATATAATTCAAAGATATATGGATATGTTGAATTCCTTGAATTGCTGAGATTTTCTTGAATTGCCAATTTTTGGATCGTAGGTACTGCTGGTACAGAAAAGATCTTCACTAACGCTCATACATTCACTACGAATAGTCTTCTACAGCTCTGACACCGACGGAGTCCGATGAATGATTCTACCTGTGACTAATTGTTCCTGCAACAAATTATCTGGTTACTGGTTGAAGAATAAGAAACATAAGATTGTAATAGTACTGATGCACAAAACGGATTTTATTGGAACTTTGACTATAAGGAATAATATATTAATGATCATTAAAGAATCATCTTTTTAAAGATGAATTTTGCAGTTGAATATAATTTTCTGAAAAAACAGGAGTTTTCGTTCTTTCGTACGTTTACCATCATCTACATTGGACATTACTTGAGGCTCTAACTTTTAGTTTTATTTCAGACGAGGTGTGAATCTTCTTTTTACCCACACTCGTACTCAATACAATTTATGAAAACTTTATTTTCAAATCCACTCTTGATCGATTAAATAGAACACATGTAAGAAAGATACAGTTTTTTTCGTTTTACACAAACCTAATGAAAATTTGTTATATTATCTAATAATAAACACTGAAATAATAGTTTTTTTTAATAATTCTTTCGTAATAATGCTCATTAAAAAGATAAAAATTCGGAACGGTTGCTTCTATAAACGAAATCATATATGTTCATCCTAGATTATTGCAATGCTCATTAAGAATAATATTATAATTAAGTTGCTCTTCTTTGTTAGTGATAATGCGCTGTTTCTTTTCTTATTTTTCACTTTAGACTAATGTTGTGATACTAAAAATCGTGTAAATACTCGTATTGAGTTAATTCTCTTCTTTCTATTCTCTGTTTATTCATATGTACATTATTATTGGCTTGTTTTTTCATATTTTTTTTTCTATATGTATTTCACAATTTGTTTTATTACTCATTCTTTTCTATTTTCATACCTGTGGTGCAATACTCAAGAGACAAGTGACACTTATATTGCATCAGTGATTCATTTGTGATCTTTATATGCATATAACAGTGATTGTAGGTAGCGTTAACATTCTATTCAATTCTTTGCTACTCTCGAACAACAAACGTAACGGTACTAATAACAATGCGCGTGTTTTTACAATCAGCAGAACAGAATTGGCATTTTGGCGGTAATAGCGATGAAGTATGGAATGGATGGTGTCATGTTGAGTCAAAAAATAATTTTTGGGGATGTGGCAATAATATTGGACTTACTTTACAAAAAGGTATAAGTGTACGATAATATTACCAATGTTCTATGTTCTATTTATTTTTATTTTTCTATTATAGGCGATATGCAATGCACATATCGTGCTTCATATTATAATCCGAGATTTGATTTGGTAAAACTAAATGATAAACCAGCAAGTGGTACATTCCCTTATGATCGAAGTAAATCTAAAGCCGAAGTGTATAACGCATTCATCGAATTCATTGAAAGTCAAATCGCTGCTCACAATGCATAGTATAAATAGAGCAAGTATTGTAATAGAAACATGAACAAATATAATTAATTGTGTAACAGTAATTGATAATCGATCATTTTATTGTCTTATTCAATCTGTCTTGTTATATCTTACTATTCTTTCTTTTATTTTACCTAATTGAATTATGATGTGTGACGTTTCTATTTTGTTCATTGTTCATACAAAAAACTTTGGAAAAAAGAAGAACGGATGTGATGATCAAATATTTTGAAGAAAGGTCTACGGTCGAATGTACATTCCTCATAATTCTAATAATAAATTTGATCTTGCTAATAAGAATACCTGCATCTTCAAAAATCTGAGTTCATACGGAGTAATATTTAAAAAAATATAAATAATAATAACAACTCTGTTGAAAAATAGCAGTGACTTTTATACAAGGGGGAAACAGCTGACTCCAGTCCCTTGGAGTCAAGTGGAGTCAAGTGGAGTCAAGTGGAGTCAAGCGGAGTCAAGTGGAGTCAAGCGGAGTCAAGTGGAGTCAAGTGGAGTCAAGCGGAGTCAAGTGGAGTCAAGCGGAGTCAAGTGGAGTCAAGCGGAGTCAAGCGGAGTCAAGCGGAGTCAAGTGGAGTCAAGCGGAGTCAAATGGAGTCGCGCGGAGTCACGCAACGTCATACGGAGTTCTGGAGTCTGCTGCTTCTCTCTTAATTAATCCCTAATAGGGGTGGCACTTTAACTTTCAACTTTACAGGTTAAAGTGGTTAAAGTTTAAAGTAGTACTTTAACTTTAACTTTAAAAAATTTAAAGTTAAAGTAAATGTT